CAGATCAGAAGAGTTGCTCCAGTAACAGCAGTTGTTATAATAGCCATTACCGACCAATTCCCACCTTGCGACGTACAGACGTTGATGACAGTGGTCAGCAGTCCGGCAACAGCATGCAGGCATAGGGGACTAGTTCAGCGTTAAATTGGGATCTGGCTTCTCAAACCTCTCAAGTGGGATTTGCTCACTTACACAAACACTTTGTTAATCAGCCAGGGGTAGTTTCCCCTGAGCTTTGGGACGTGCATCAGCCACATGAGAGCTGCAGTGCCACTAACAAAAAGGAAGCACGCAATAGCGAGTAACGGGGGGTTCTGGATCATATGTAGAGCGGTACGGCCGGCCTTGTTGGTTTGCAACGTCTTTTCAACCTGGCTCGAGGTCTGCAGTGATGTGAACGTGCCGGGAACGACTAGATAGCCAGCAAGCAGCGCCCAGTTAGCCACACCAACCGTGATGCTGAAACGCATATCCATTTGTGCTTCTTCCCTGAGCATTCTGGCATACGTAGTTTCGTTGGCGTGGTGGATCTGGTTGACTCTACACAGCCCTGTAGTTCCACTCGAAGCTGAGCGCGATGGAAGAAGCGCAGGCTTCAATCCAAGAAGGGGAATCTTTTTCGATCCTATCTTAGCTGGCATCCCTGTATGGCTGCCCGCAGCAGACGCCATGACCGAGAAAGTTAAGGGCTAATATGGAGAGAGCAAGTCCGACCAGGGTCTTTGTGAGCACTTTGTATGGTCGGTAGTGAAAGCTTGCTACAGCTAGGTCGACAGCTTCTACTGTGAGGAGTCGCATTTTTCACTTGCGGTGAGCCTTTCGTGATCTGATTTCAAAGTCAAAAACGAATGGCTTCGGCCAGAGCACGAATGTTGCTGCGTACTTGATTTAAACGGCCATCATCTGCAAATTCACTGTCAGGAGGAAGACATGTTTTCTGTTCAGATCAGATTCTGAGGCGGGACAAGAAATTGCCAACTTTAATCTGAGTGTCAAACCACCCTTGAACCGCTGCTTGTCACTTTCAGATAAGAGCCGTATATAAAGTCCCCAGTAGACTCTTTTTCTTCTTAGATCTCCAAAATCCTTCTAATGGCTGCCTGGCTTGACCTCGTCAATGAGAATGAAGCATGGAATTTAGTTGACACCAACCGCCTGGAACAACTAGTGCAGGAATTGCCCTATCCGAAATGTCAATATCCGTCCCTACTGTACTTTTCCGGAAATTCAAACCGCATGAAGGCCTTACGGGCTCTGTTTCCCTACAATAATATCACACGAAAAGGCCCTGGAGGATTAGTCCGTCTCCATCTTAGCACCAAGACAGCCCATACACAGAATCCTATATTATTTGCTGAAAGCAGTCTTTGCCTCGAGCAAAGTCTGGGCGATTCAAAATGGCTCAAGCATTCAATGACAAAACATCGAACCTTCTCAGTGGCCAGTGCAGAAGAGACGTTGTCCCCTGCAAGGTTACAGCAAGAAGTCAAGAGACGATTTGTTTTGCCATGGAGCCAGATCCTGTGTTTATTCCTCGATTCCATTTCAGACATCCAAGCGGCAAGAAACTTGCTCCAACAACCACGTCGACAGCTGACCATTGGGGGTGAAGCGATTGCATCTCCCACGCAGATAGCCATTGTTGTGACCAACGGCCAACAAGCAACAAAAGCCTTCGCCCAAGAATGCGCACAGCTTCAAAGGCTGACCAAGACTGGAACAGTCACTGTTCTCGATCTGGGTCCTCGTAGCGGACTCTCAGACAGCGTCGCTTTTGAGCCACTGCAAACCTTGATCCTTAACCAGCTCAGTATAGTTCAGGCGGAGCAAGTGTCAGCTTACCGACGCTTCTCGGCATCTCATCTCAGTGCTTTCTGGAGCACTCGTTTACAAAACCACGAATGGATTCTGGATGCACCACCATGTGATCTTTTGGCAAGAGCCCGAAGGGGCTTTACGAGGAATGAAACGATGGGCGCTTGCCTTCGAGAAACCACGCGGAATGCAACATCCGCCGGCTACTCAAAGGAGGACTTTGAAGACCTTGTAGCCTCGGCTTTCTTGATGGAGGCTTATCCCCCTGGAATGCATGGTAAGAACACTTTCTCTAACCTGATTCCAATGCTAATGTCCACAGGGTTTTCGCCTACCGTGATGTTCGAGACGCTTTATGAGAAGCTCTGCCACAGCATCTGGGACGGTGACTTCAAACAACATGTTGGTGGCGTATCATCCTGCTTCGTCCAATATTTTGCACAGTTGAGCCCTATTCGGACATCAGCATCCATTCGAAAAGAGACATTGCATCGGATGTATCGCCGATGGGGCGGACTTCGCTCTACCACTACCTGTTTTGTCTGTCTGTGTCGCCCTCCAGAGCATATGCTCCCTTGCAAACATACACTGTGCGACACGTGTGTTGTGATCTTTGGGAACTCGAGTTTGCTTGGAGAGTATCATTTCGAGATTGCGCAATGCCCCATCTGCGATGAAAGTTCCAACATCACGATCCGCCAGCTACCTCCGACCAAGCACCCGGTGATTCTCAGTTTAGATGGCGGAGGGGTGCGCGGCATAATTCAATTAGGGCTGTTACGGGCTTTAGAGAAGCGCATTGGCATTCCGATTGCGTCTCTGCCGGATCTGTGCACTGGAACTAGTGTAGGTATGTACAACTACTGGCCATGTTTCTTATGGTTGTTGATAGACTAACAAGCCTCGTCTTCAGGCGCATTGTCGACGATTGACCTTGTTCTCAATCAATCTTCAGTCACGCAGTGTTTCAATGCGTTCCCGGACCTGGCGCGAAACATTTTTCGTCGTTCATCAAAAATCCCAATTCCTCGTTGTATCCGGTGGCTTGCCTCGGCGTTCAACTTGACCACAGATGGTCTTTATGACTCCGATGGGCTGGCACAAATCTTCAAAGCAGCTGTTGGCCCATCTCGTCGCATGTTCGATGTTGCCACGGCTCGCCGTGCGGGTTGCCGGATCGCCATTGTGGCAAGTCGCACCTCCGATGGTAAAGCCTGCGTATTGGCCAATTACCGAGGAATAGGACCGCGCACCGCGAATACCGCGTATCAATTTTTGGCGCCACATGACGACCAGGAGAATCCTTTTGTATGGGAAGCGTAAGTCGACCCTCGGCATCTACCCAACTTGAACAGTGGTAGACGATTTTCTAACACTTTGTTTTGGGCAGAGCAATATGCAGTGTTGCAGCACCCTTGTGAGTTCAAACACTGAGACATTGTAATGCGCTGACACTCTCTAGTTACTTCCAGACAAAGAATTTGCCAGGCCTTGGTGTCTTGCAAGATGGTGGGGTCCGTGCGAACAATCCGCTCGCCATTGCATTGCGAGAGTCGGGCATTATCTGGCCCATGGCGAAACGACACGACCTTCTCCTCTC